TCATCTTGTATGGGTCAACTAGTAATTGGCTAAATAGCATTTATATGAGAACTTTTGCACCTAGAAGCTTAAGTGCACATCATATCTTATGTATGGTTYGTAGACACTTGTTATTGGTTAGTAATTGCATTTATTTATACCTTATCGCTCTGMAGGTTATACACCCAAGATGTGAGATAAAATAGGTCATTTTACAACTAACTTTATTGTAATGTAGTGATAATTAGTGGATTTACAATTTTCAGGGAAGATAGTGCAGGCTACAATTGAAGAGTGCCGAGATACTTTTGCAGCCTTTATAGAACTTGTATCTTCTTTTTCTCTATCGGTCATTTTACATCATTATGATTTTTTCAAAGGTCTGATAGTCTTAATTATGAGTTTATGTATGATTTKCTTTCAGGCGAATGCGTTTCTGAAACAGAAGAACATTGATAGAGAAGGTAAATTCTATCAGATTCTACTATTCCATGATATCTATGAGATTATGTAGAACCCCTAGATTACTCTCCAAAAGATCCCTYAAGGAGAGAAGGGAGGTTCCAACTTATATTGTACTCTAACAAGCCCCCTCCAATGGAGGCTAGACGGGGGCAAATTCTCCAAAAGTATCGAGTGAGGGCTAGACGAGTACAAATTTCCCCAGAGTGTCAATTCTAGCCATGTGAGAATGTGGTAGACCTTGGCTCTGATACCATGTGAGAATATGTGGAACCCTGATTGTTTACTCTCCAAAAGAGGCCTCGAGAAACAAGGGAGGTTCCAACATATATTGGGGAGAAAAAGTCCAAGTCTAGCCGATGTGGGACTCCAACAATATCCAATTTGATTGATTTATTTTGTTCTTTGTTGTTGTGCTTATTTCCAGCCAACTTGATTGCCAATGTAAATGTAGAAGAACCGGTACGAACCYTGGAACATTCACCAACATCACGTCAGGAGACGGACATGACGACACAGACTGTTCCAGCGTCCCGGGAAGTAAACCACGYCAGCACCTTGGTGCAAGGATCTTCGAGTGGTTCTGGCACTGCTGCGTCCTTTTTCAGAGATTCTGTACTGAAACTCTTTTCATCTTTCAAGTCTCAGAACCAGGTCCCTTTTTTTGTTGTTATCCTCTTGGCTGTGGTCATCCTCCTGATGCAGGTACACACTACTTTCCAATTCTACCCTTGATTACAAGATGAAGAAATTTATTACTCCTCTAATATTGAGGGTAACATTGTAATTTAGTTGATTAAAAACATTCTGTTGCTTCCAAGAAGGCATACTATCTAATGTATTTCTTCATTTGGCAAATGTTAATTTTGTTTTTCTCTCTCTGCAGATAAGTATCATTGTGCTGCTTCTCAGACCTCAAACCGTTCAAGTGGTTTCCGACACGGCCTGGATGAGCAACGCCCGTATCGATAGAAGGGCGGAGACGGTTTCGTTGCTAAACAAACAGATTGATCATCTGAAGGAGCAGATGCTGATCGTTGAGACCCTGCTGGAGAAAATGCGACATGAGCATGATATGTYATMCGTTCAACTGAAAAAYTTGATGCTTCRGAAAAGTTAGCATCCTGAGGTATCCYRCRTTAAAAYCCCGACMGGTGTACGTGTGCATTCCCTCCTTTCCCTTTGTTTTCGATTCAAAGAGTCGATAAATTGTGAATTTGTCAAACATTCTGAAGTCTGCTGAGAAAATGTATAGTCGATGTTGTATTTTTTTTAGTAATCGTGGGTGTCCGGGTTAGTTTATGCATACCTCGACTAATCTCTGACGTCCTGGAGAATCACCAATAACCCTGTGGTGACTCGAACTTTGGTTGATTTGGTTATATGTCTAAAGAGGCATTGATGTGTTTCCGTATGGGAAAACCCGAACATGGTCTCATTTATTTTAATACTTGGGCGTAGTTTTACCAAGTTCGTAATTGACGTATACAAATGTATATGTGGGTGTAGCCGTGTATGTCCAAATTGCTAGAACCTTAAAGTTACATTTAACCAAGTGAATGTGTTGGCTYGGTTTTGGCATAAAGTGGTTCGGTCCTGGATATTGGGACTTTTAGACCGGTCGTTTTAGGTTTGGTTTCATTTGTTGTCGTCATGGCTCGAAAAGGAGTGTATGTCTTCAACACCACGTTAAACCCAGTCTAAGACGTGGCTTACGCCATGTCATCTTGAGGCGCGTTATATTTTTAGCACATTATTTGACTTGTTACCGGTTTCCCTTATAAATTCGACTTATCTTTACTATGTGTAATGTGTTTTATCGAAAATGTTAACCTCTGTGTAAGTCTATGCTACACGACTCACGTCATTTAAAACCTCATCTTATTGTAAAAATTAGTTAAGTATTTTTGTCATGTAACTATTTGCTTATTCTTTATAGAATTTGGTTTTCCATGGATTTGGAAATGGAAACCAATTTTTGGTTACAATGAATTAATGATTCCTTGTATTAAAAGGCAAGGTCTTACTAAATATTGGGACAAATTAGATCGTATTTGTCCAGGATCCACGCTTATAGAAGGATCTGATCTTTATAACACCATTGAGAAGAAAATTCAGCTTTATAAACAGGATTTTGATCAGAAGCAAGTCAAGGAGGATTCAGAGATTCCAAGTCCTTTTCAGTAGATCTCTCAGAAGTATACTGGAACTCTTTCTAAAGAAGAAATCATAGATCTTTATATTGAAAACATGAAGAAAGATCTCTATGATAATATAGAACTCTGTCCTTCAAGATCAGATGCATCTATGAATTCTGACCTTCAACAAGATGATCAAAGCTTAGAAGGATCGGAGGAAATTGTCATATCTCTAGAAGATGCTCTAGAAACTTTAAAAGATTCGTTGAAACAGGGAAAATAGTCTTTTCAGCTCTTTTTCTGACAAATGTGCCAATTTGTCAAAAGTGGCTTTTATAAAGCCTGAATTATTTTCACTTTATGACTTTTCATTAAGTCTTTTGTCTGTTATACAGCTGGTGTTATTGGTCTGTAATACAGCTGTTCTCTTGTAGCTTCCTTGGCTCTATTTAAAGAGGGGTCTGTCTCTCTTTGTAAGCAGAGTTTTCATAAGCGAGTTTCTAAATTTCTCCATTTTCCTTCATGTTTGTAAAGTTGAAAGTTTTTGAATAAGAACAAGCCAGCCGACTGGTGAAGAAGTTTGAGCTTTTGTAAGTCTTTTAATTTCATTTATGTCTTTCATATAATTTATTTTATTTCAGTATATAATGATAGGCTAAGTTAGGATTCTGAGTTAAAACATGTTTTTGAGTTTGATATATCTACAGATTTACATGGAATGTTTTATATGTTTCAAATTCTAGCATGATACTAAACCGTTTGTTGTACTAGTATTCACCTCTGAGACTGATCGTCACCCGTTAAGGCCAAGAGTGCTGTTTTAGGATATTGTTGTAATAACCAGATCCTGATTATTACCTAAGGTATTTAATACGTGAATATTTGACTAAATGATTTCGTGATAGCATGATAAATTGATACGTGCTAGTATGTGCAGGACGTGATTTTATGCATGATATTATGTGTGCATGTAGAAATATATATGTATGTAAATATTTGATGAAATGTATATATATA